GTAGTTTGGTTTCCTATTTATTCATTTAAATAGCCACGTGTGGCTAGTGGCTACTGGATTGGACAGTGAAGCCTGAGACCAGAGAGAAGCCCCACCAATCCAGGGGACCCGTCCGTCTGACCCTGTCCTGTGAGGCTCATTGCTCTGCTCCCCCACTCCTTCTGTGGCAGTCACTGTGCTTAAAGACAGTGGCCCCAGTGAGATGGCCGCCCAGGGCACCCACTGAGCTCTAAGGTATCCCAGCCTACAGGCAGAAAGCCTCCGGGCCCACTTCCCTTTGTCTCTGGCGTAGATCGATGCATCTCTCCACTTAAAGATTATTTATGGACTACCATTCGCCGGGGAGACGAAGATAAATGACAAGCCTCTGCCCGGAGGTTATTGTTTAAATTCCACCGAGGGAGCCGGAGGAGAGCCAGTGGAAACCCGGCTCCCTTTCCATGCCTCGCAGAGAGGTTCTGGGCGAACCCATCTCGTCTCTGGCTGGGGAGAGAGACTTTCCTCTCTCCGGGTCCAGGCGGCCTGGCAAAGCCCTGCATTCCTCCTGAGCCGAGAATTCCAAGTCCGCCTCAGTTTCTTCCGTTTCCGACACAAAGTCCCAGGTCTGGGCCACCCAGGTTCCTCCGAAGGTAGAGTCTGAGGTTAAGATGAATGGGAACCAGCACCAGCCTGGGAGCAGGCTGTGAATGATGCCAGGGAGGGGCTGAGAGCCCCGGGGTAGGAGGTCAGATTGCAGGGAGCAGCAGGTTCCCAGCAGCACCATCCATCTCTGTAACCAGGGAGCAGGTGGTATGGAAACATTTCTTAAAAACACATGCCTGTCATTGCTGCTCGAGCATCAATGACAGATGCTCGAGCAGATAACAGCGGCAGCAAGAGGGCATATTGGAGACGGTGGTGGAGCCTGGATGGGGAGTATGCTTTGGGCACCTGTGCTGTGAGTAGATCTGCCCATCCTACGGTGTCTCTGGGGACATAGCGGCCAGGCCTGCACCCAGACGCCGTCTGCGTTTGCTGGGACATGAGGACGGTGTCGTCCTCAAACAAGTGTTCACGTGAGCACAGGGAGGGCCCATGTACCCGTCTGTGCCTCGGTGAATGCTACTGCCCCGGTGTGGATGGGCATCACATGGCAGGGGCTGGGCTATCAGAGAGTTGGTTGGTTGGCAACCCACCCCAAAGGTAAATATCAGGGCAGTATGATAGCTCTCATTCACTCCGTCATCAGCAAGATCATGGAATTAAGAGAAAAGGAAATAATACTGAGCATTTCACACCTCCCATCCTCTGCAGAATCCTTTGGAAATGACATCAAGTGATGGAAAGGGAGGTGCCAGATACGTTTCATTTCTTCCCCTGGCCATTTGTCAATTGCAGATGAAAGAAATAGCTAAGGGTTTTGCACATAGAGTCTTGCCCCGCTCCCCCTCCAGTTCCCACACCTGCCTTCTCCACTCTCCCCCTATGAGTCCTTTCCAGTCCTCGCTTGTCCATCTCCCTAACTCTTTAAATACGTGCTGCAGACACACAGAGAGAAGGAGAGGGTTTGGTGGTTGTCAGAGAAACAGGCGCACAAATTCCAGATTTTAAAAATTACTTACAGTCCCTAGCAATGAGCACCCAGGCATGCTGTGTGGTCTTGTCTTTGTCGCCACCTACTGGCCATGTGGAGGTATTGACATGTTTGTCCAGCGGGTTCCAGAACCCAACGCCCTCCTCTGTTCCTGGCTGTTCAGGCACAGGGTCACCTCACCAGGAAGTCCTCCTTATATCTCATCTACATCCCTTCCACAACCTCAGTCTGCTTTCTCTTGATGAAATAGCGCAGGAGCTGCCAGCCTACTGGTGCCTTCCTGCTTTATCTCAGACTTAAACCCTGCCCAAATCAAAAGCCTATTTATGACTCAAAGCAGCTGAGCGGGGCCTGCTGGCTCTGGCATTCCAGCTCTGGGTCTGCGCTCCAGCCCTTTCATCTCCCCGGTGCTGTCCTGGCTCTGCCCCAACTCTCCACTGTCTCTCTGGAGCCTACAGGTGACCACAAGACCTTGATGAATATCTGTGAAACTCAACTCCCCCGGTGCCAAAGTAACAGGTCACAGGGGGGTTAAGTGGCATCTAAAGCCAGAAGACCCATCAAAGCTCTAAGCCTGCCTTTCAGAGCAGCAAAAGAGCCCGCACCCTGGGGAGGGTGTGCTCCCAGGAGGCCTGCCCTGGGGAGGCCCGCAGAAGGAAGGGGAGAGGGTTTGCAAACGTGTTTTGAGCTCCCTTAAGTGGATGCAGGAATCTACAGTTGGTTTTCCAGCCTCATCATTGCTTAGCCCAAGGCAATGGGAACACTTTCAGAGAAAAGACTAAGAGACTAGATGGCCTGTGGGGAGGATCCCAGGGCTGGTCCAAAGCCCTGGAGGTGAGCAGCTTGCTGGGGTCTCTCCCATTGGAGAGGCGGCCCCTGCGCTTGGCTTTGCAGGTATCCCACACATCCCCCTGATTGGCTGGTCCTCCAGGCCAGGCTGGGGCAGCCCCTGAAGGAAACGCTCATCTCCCTCCCATTTTCAACACCCAGCCCCCTCTCCCTCCTCCCCTCACTTCCTCTAGTTACAATCTTAATTGGAGAAGGGGTATGACCACGCACCCCAGAATGCCCCCAGCCTTTCAATGGCAACATCTCTTGCCCTCTCCCCTACCCCAGTGGTCAAATGTGTTTTGAAGATTAGAATGCTTAGTTTTGCCCAGAGAGGTTGAAGGAAGTGTCTCTGGTCCCTCAGTAAGACTGGCTCAGAGACCCATCCATGCCTTAGTAGGCTTTTCCTCTTCCCCCACCCCGACCCCACCTTTCCCTAAGGCCAGAGCCCTCGGCATGGGCCTCAGCTACTAGATCAGAGAGCCCTGGCCTTTCTCTTTGTACAGAGTCCTTCAAACCACCAGTGCTCCTCCCTGCATCCCGCCCCCCTTCTAGCTCTTCCCACAGCCAGGAAAAGTAGGCTTACCCCAGAGCATCACTCTATCAGCTAATTCCTGGAAGGCTGCATTCCACCAACCCTGCGCATCGCGTGTTGATGAATCATCACAGCAGGTTTGGATACAGTAGACTCTGAGCACTGAGTCAAGGCGAGGTGGGAAGTCGGACTGAAAGGCCAAAAGTAGGGGTCAGAGATCCTGGTGTTGAATTTGGTTCAGGGAGAGTCTGCCCCTGACTTTGTTGTTTAATACATATAAATATATATATATATATATATATATATATATATATATATATATATATATATAATATAAAATTGATTTTTTACAGAGAGGAAGGGAGAGGGACAGAGAGTCAGAAACATCGATCAGCTGCCTCCTGCACACTCCCCACTGGGGATGTGCCTGCAACCAAAGTACATGCCCTTGACAGGAATCGAACCTGGGACCTCTCAATCCACAGGCCGATGCTCTATCCACTGAGCCACACCAGTTTCGGCTTTGTTGTTTGCTTTCTGCCCTTCCTCTTCCTCTCCTGGACAGTAGCCCAAATCAACTAACCGCCCGTAGCCCTACAAACCTGGGGGCTTCTTCCAGGCAGGCAATGTCCTGCCAGGGCCTTTAGGACAGAATACCGATCCGACTAAATGTGACAAATCTGAGCCAACTGCCAGCAGGTGCCTAGGTGCTTCCGGCCACCTGCCAGCCTGAATGAGTTTGGCCGGGTCTCCACAGCCTTTCTTCACACACACCTGTAACTTCCTCCAGCTGAGAGCTCCCCCCCGGGGAACACACACAGTGCCTTTCTCTCCCCCAGCACCTCTCCTCATCCCACCTGCTTGGATTCCTCTCCTATTTTCCAGCACAGTGCCTTGCCCTTAAGTGGGTTGGTGATAGGATTTTCCTACACCCCAGTGGAATCATTTAGGGTCACCTCAAAGCCCTTTGTTCTTTTTTTGAATTTGAAAAGAGGGCAATAACAATAAGGCCCCCCTGCACCGGGCCTCCTGGCCACATCCTCTCCCTCCCCCTGGTCTGCATGGGCTGGTGGGGCTGAGGAACTGAGAGGAGACACAGGGACCCAGAGGAGGGTCCCTGTGAGATAGGAATTAAATGGAAATCTGTGGACCGAGGAAAGGCTGGGGGCAGGCCGGGGGAGGAATGAACAGGTCAACAAATAAATGAACAAAGTCCTACGTCTTTAAAGGTCATAAGTCAGCTAAGTATAGACTGTCACCGAGTCACCCCTTTATATAACTGTGCCAGCCCAGCCAGCTGTTGGCCGCTCTTGGCCTGGAGCTATGTTATGTTCCATTCCATCCAGGGCCCAGAGCACAGAGCCAGCTCTGAGCCAGTGCAGGGAGGAAGGCCTCAGGGTTCTGTGTCCCCTCTCAATGGGCCCCCTCCCCGCTCCCCCCCACTATTCCCTTCCAAGCCTAGCTTCCCAGGTCTTCTTCTCCTGCTAGTCCAGGCCCCCAGGACCCTCCTGCCCCCAGTTCCCCAAATCCAAGCAGCTCACGTCCAGCAGCTCTGAAAGCATGAAGACCCCACGGGAAGTTACACGTGGCCTTTCTTGTCCTGGTTGCCCCCGATTTCCTCCGACAGCCAAGATCTCCGGACTGTGCTCTAACGTCAAAGCCACACCTCTAGCCACGGCACCATCTACTTGGCCCCATAAGCAAGCCCCTGACCGGGCCTGAGCCCTCCCAGAGGCCACGGCCCCCCTCCTTCCTCTTTGCTGCCCCCAGAATGTCCTCTCCCTCCTGTCAAACTTCCCTCGCTTATCAGCTTGACTTTTTCAATACCCCGCCCTCTTCCCACCCCAACTCCATGAAATCTTCCTGGATTCACGCTATGGGACTCCAGTCCTGCCAGCAACCCCCCTCCCCGTACATGAGTGCTGACTCTTACGCCCTGGTTCTCATTTAGGCTCCAGGAGGGCAGAGACCCCCTTCTCTTTGAACCAGCTTCAGAGTCTTGGGCTCTGCAGACAGATGTACCTGGGCCCCAGGGGCTGACCCCCTGCCTTCTTCTCCCTGCAGATCGGGAATCCCAGGAGCACGAGGACCCAACCACCGCTGAGGGGGCTGAGGAGACCTACCCCCCCAAGCACTTCCGTCCCAATTCCAAACACTCCCGCATCTCCGAGCTGAAGGCCGAGGCCGTGAAGAAGGACCGCAGAAAGAAGCTGAGCCAGGCCAAGTTTGTGGGGGGAGCCGAGAACACCGCTCAGACCCGGGCCAACGCTGCCCCTGAGATGAGACAGGAATCCGAACAGGCGAGTCTCAAGGATCCCCCATGGTGTCTTGGGTGTCCACGCCCGCAGCCTCTGCCACTGCCCTGACTTGCGTTCGTGGCAACGGGAGATGCTAGACCTGGTGAAGGACCTGCCACTTACAATAGAGAGCTTTTAGAGCTTCCATTGATCAGGACCCAGGGTTTGTCTGAGGGAGCAGACATAGAGGCAGGACACAGGGAAGGTGCCAGTGGGCCACAGCGAGCACAGGGCAAGTGCCAGGAGGGTGAACAGCCGGGGGTTCTGTCCTCCTAGGGCATCTACAGAGGACCACCTCTGGACATAACCACTCAGAGGCAGGGAAGAGCTGAGGGTGGGGAGCAGGGAACAGATGGGACAGGGTGCCCCTGTGCCCAGTCAAATGCAGGTTTTGCACACTTTGTACCCCCGGTGCATAGCAAGTGGGCGGAGGAAAGGTCACTGGTAGCAGCCAATGGGAACAAAAAATGGTGGCTTTCCCCACAGAACCTTTGTCTCCCCCACCCACCCACACACCCCGCTCCCAGGCCACTTGTTCTGCCCATGGGGACGGTTTCCACCTGGTCCTGCCATGCCTCTCATCCCTCCTCTCCGCACACAGGGCCCCTGCCGCAGGCACATGGAGGCTTCCCTGCAGGAGCTCAAAGCCAGCCCTCGGATGGTGCCCCGTGCTGTGTACCTGCCCAACTGCGACCGCAAGGGATTCTACAAGAGAAAGCAGGTATGCCCCGTCCCATGCCCCCAAGTCAAAGGGCTCCTGGAACACTCACCAGAAACCTCTACCTCGAAATGCCTAAAATGTATGTCTTTAACAATAGTCTTTTTCAAACCTGAAATATCCATAGCACAAATGTGATTTTCCCATTCCTGCCTGTGCTACAATCTACTTAACGTTTAACCATCCATCTTATTTACATGGATTTTATTAGGAGGGGAGAGAGAGAGAGGGAGAGAGAGGGAGAGAGAGAGAGAGAGAGAGAGAGAGAGAGAGAGAGAGAGAGAGAGATTGCTGTGTTGTTTCACTTACTTATGCATCCACTGGTTGATTCTTATATTGTGCCCTGACCGGGGATCAAACCCTGGGATGATGCTCCATCCAACTGAGCTGCCCAGCCAAGGCTACATGAATTTTAAAAGAAAAACTTGACATCACTGGGTCTCATCCCATGTCGTATGTTATTTCCTGATACACACACACAGATATATGCATATATGTGACTTTAAAGCATATTTTCACCAGGTACCACCTGAAATCACAGCCAGGCTACCCTTTGAGCTGCCGTGGCTAACCGGTGGTGCTTAGGGTATTACATTGGATCCGAGTTCCCTTAAGGCAATGGTGTTCAGCCTTCCTTGGGCATCCGTGTCACCGGGCAGGTTTGACAAAGCACTAATGAGGGACCCCCCTCCCCAGTGTTTGAACGGTGGCTCTGGAGAGACTCAGAACTTTGCTTTTCTAACAAGTTCCCTCCCATGTGACACTGACGCTCTAAGCGTCCCCTCATCTAAGTGAGGGGTCAGGGCCAGGCAGCCTTGGGCCCGTTCGTGGCTCTCCCACTCACTCACTGTGTCCTCTTACTCTAGTTATTTTTTTTTTTAATCTCTGCCTCCGGTTCCTCACGTAAATGGAGAATAGTTGTGCTTATTGTTTTCACACGATGATGAGGAATAACGGACTAATCTCTGTAAAGCACTTACAACAGTACCTACTATGTAGTAAGTGTTAAATAGCAGTGCTGGTACATGGTAAAAACCTGCAGAAGTGATACCTATTAACATTATCATTATTATTAATTATCATCATCGTCAGTATCAGATCATCAGTATCAGATGTAGCTCTCTGGAGAATACTAAGTTGGAGGATCCCGAAAGGGTCACATAAAATGGGTTAATAGGGGGTAGCCAAGGTCAGACTGCCTAACCTATCATTTCCCCAGACCCTCCCCAGGCAGGGGTACAGCCCCCCTCAACTCTCTGGGGGTGAACGTCTGTCTTGGGACGGGAAGACGAAGGGTCAGGCGTGGGTGCAGCCTCCTGAAGGCACAGCCATCCTCACTGCCTTTCCCTGTCTGCACCCCCAGTGCAAGCCTTCCCGTGGCCGCAAACGTGGCATCTGCTGGTGCGTGGACAAGTACGGGATGAAGCTGCCGAGCATGGAGTATGTCGAGGGGGACTTCCAGTGCCACACCTTCGACAGCAGCAACGTTGAGTGATGCGTCCCCTCCTCCTCCTCCTCCTCCCCCACCCTGTCCCACCCCCAGCCCCAACTCCAGCCAATGCCTCCCTCCACCCCAGGACGCCACTCATTTCATCTCATGTAAGGGGAAAACATGCATATATCTATCTAATCGAGGAACCTGAGGGCCTCAGAATCTCTAGCAAGGTCTCAACTTTGGAAATGGCAACAATGGAGATGAAAAAAGTTAAGGAGATTTCCCTCTCCCCCCGTTCCCCCTTTTTAAATGGTTTTCTTTTTGAGGCAAGTTGAGTGAATAGGGAAGAGAGGAAGAACAAGAGGCAGAGAAGGGAAGAAGGCACTTGTGTACAAGAGAGAGGAAGACGAACAGAGTGAGGAAAGGAAGGGAGAAAGTGGGCAGGAAGGAAAGATCCCAGGCCTCACGGCGGGCCCCACCTCTCATATGCAGCCCTGGCCTGAGCTGGGGAGACGTTTGGGTGCTAGAGTTTTGGCCCAAGATGTAGTATTTGGTGACATACTTGGAGCTTTCCCAGGCTGGATGGGTCACAGAGGGAGCAAGGCAAAGACAAAGCTCCTCCTGCAGCCAGCAAAGTGGGCAGCTCGAACTCTCCTTCCTCTGCTTGCCCCACTAGGTGTTCTCTCCCCCGCAAATTTATAAAAGCTAAAGTGCATTCCACTCCCCTCAAAGCAAAACAAATTAAAAGCTGAGTGATATTAGATAGATAAATTTTCCTAAGCAGATACATAAGTATTACATATGTGTGCACATTTCCCTGTGCAAACTTGGAAATTAATACACACGCAACAGTGGGAAGACATGTTCCTCCCGGTTGACCAGAACTCCGAGCTGAAGCATGAGGTTTCAGCCCTTCCATGCATTTGATTCACAACTAGCACAGCCTCTGTGGGGGAGGATAGGCTGAAAAAAAAAAAAGTGAGCTTGTATTTATCTACAAGGCTCCATGTAGTCATATATAGGCATATAAATCTACTTTCTTTCTTGTTTTTTTTTTTCCCTTCCTTCCTTTCTTTCAAAAATTTGTATTATTAACTTTTCAAGTAGTTTCTATGGGGGCATTGAGGAGTTTCCTCATTCTGGGCAAACCACAACTCATATGCTTCTAACATGACCCATAACACCAGTCTTGCCTGCCTCCCATGAGCAGCAAGCTCAACTTTTTGTGGGACACAGTGTTGGATTTTTTTTTTCTTGATTTCCCACGTGCACACGTCTTCACACGTACCACCCGGCCAGGTGGATGAGAGCCCTCTGTGTGGGCTCCTCAGACCCTCCAGAAGTAATCGTCTCCAACCGCACGCTGAGCGAGCCCAACGGGCCCAAGTTTGACCTACTGGTCCCACCGGGCCTTTCCATTTCATCTGGGCAGAGCCTTCATTTTGAAAGCCTCTCTCCCTCTTCACGATGGCGAAGCAGGAGAGAGATGGCAATGAGAGAAGGCAAAGAGGGATGTGGAGGCGAACAAGTTTCAATACAGGGCAGTTTGTAAAGTGACTGTTCAGGCCAGATAGATGGAGTGAAGGGAAAGGGGCTGATGGCCCCTTTCTAGCTTGGAAGCAAAGCAACCAAAAAGGAGACAAAGCCAGAGAAACTCCGCTGGCTCATCACCCAATAAGCCCTCTGGGATTCAAGAGGAAGATGGGGTATAGGTTACAAATGAAAAATGAACTAACTCAGCCCTAGAGCCAGGAAGGGTGGGCAACCTTAGGGTTCTAGACTTAGCATCTAGACCACAGCAAGGGGCAGTAGAGGGTGGCCATGTCTTGAAGGGACAAGACTTTGTGCTCAGATGCCCGTCTTCACCCAGCAGTGGGAAACTGAGGCCAGAGAGTTTTCATTCACGCTGGCCAGTTCAGCTTCCTCCCTGGGGTGAGGATGGAAGAAAGGCCTAGGACAACCAGGGAATGGGTGCTTGGGGTGCTGTCACGTGGCAGCCACATTCCGAACCAAGGACACTCCTGTTCTCGCCGACTTCTTCAACAAGTGGGCGGTCTGGGGGCTGTCCTCTGCGGCTGGAGCTAGCCTGTCAGGAAAGGGGGCTTGGACAATGGCAAGAACACCCTTTCTCACTGTGAGCACAGCCCTCTCCACGCTTCCCCGATGGCACCACATCGTGGAGACACACCAACACTGAGCGTGGGGCAATGAAGAGGGACAGCAAAGAAGCCAATCTAGTCCAGCTGGCGGAGAACTTGCAGCTGTGCATCATGGGGGATGTCTCCTGCTCCCTGGGACAGGACAGTTGGCTGGAGGTGGGAGAGATGGTCGATCTTCAAAGGACAAAGGGCCTGACGGGAATAGCAGCTGCAAGGACTTACTTGACCTGCTGTCAGTGTACCCCATCTCCCTGTGCCACTGTCCCCAAACCCCGACTCACATTTCTATGCTGTAGGCCAGTATCCTGAACCTTCCCTGCATCCCTCTTCTTCCTACCCATCCTTCCTTTGGATTTGAGCAGTCATCTAACTGGGTTCTGCCAAGTGGACAGTGGGCTGCCATTCCCCCTAAGAAAAGACTGAGCCAGGAACTGCATGCCCCACTCCCACCCCTCTCTAGGCCTGGACTGGTTCCTGAGAGGGCTCTCCCCCCGCCCCACCCCCCTCCACTGTCTCCTGGACTTTGAATGGGCTCCTGACATTAGCTCTTTGCTGTCGCCCAAGGTGGGGACGATGGCCTGGCTCAACTCCACCAGTCTCTTCAGGTCTCCAATGCTCATGACGACGACACACCTGTGTGTCCCCAGGGTTTGCAGGGAGTGATCCTGGTCAGCTGGCCAATCCCTAGAGGACCCTGGACCTTCTTGAGGGATGAAATCTAGCCTCTCCCAGGGGAGATCCGACCTGAGCCCAGTATGGAGAGACCACGGGAGAGAGTCACTGGGGACAATGGAGCTGTCCCCCGGCAGGTGGGAGGGAAGGCAGATGTGGAGCGCTGCCAGCTGCAGGCTTCTCCTTGACCCCAGGCTGCCTGGGCCTCTGAGTGCTCTCCTGGCGGCCTGAAGCTCCAGCTTCTCAATGGCCTCAAGTCTAAGTGTTGACCTTCCCCATCAGGGAGGTCTCATCCCAGCTCCCTTTTGACTCATGCCTCACTCCAGCAGTGTAGACCATACCTGATGTCCCCATGGAGGGAGGCCTAGCCAGGACTGATCCTCCTTCCCCCAGAGCCCTCCCCACCCTGGCATCAAAGGGCATCTGGGGAGGAAGTTTCTCAGACAGCCAGGCCTGGACAGGCCCGGAGACTTCAACCCTTACCCAGGGAGGAAGGGAGGCCCAGAGGCTGTGGGGTCCCACAACCTCTCCCCTCGCCCATGTCCCCATCACCACTTCGGTGTTCTCCACTGTACCCCTACAAGGGGCAGCCTCCTCTGGGGTCTGGGAGAGGTGGGCCATGTACAGCACAAGCTCCCTTCACCAGCAGCCACCCAGCTGCCATGGCAACCACCAGGCCCCCTCAGGAGGAGGCAATGGTCTCCCTGCCCATGGGCTCCTCTCCCAGAGGGCTCCAGCTCATGATGGGGCTCTGAGAGGAGGGGGCCAAGGAGAGACAGGACCCTCTGCTCTCAGAGAGGACTTTTGTGGCTTCCCAGAGAAACGAGGCTACATTTTAAGAAGTGGTGAGACTGAGGGAACAGGGTTTGACCTGCCAGCAACCTGGGCGTTGTACTGTCTTTATTTTTTGAAACCACTAAAGTGCAAGGCGTGTTTTGCACTTTTCTCCACTTCGTTTTTCTCGTAGGTTCTTGTGTCTTTTTTGAAACATACTTCCTTGGTTTCCTAGCGGAGTACATGGCTTAGCCATCTCCACGGTCTCTGGCCTCCTCTCTCCAGCTCCTTCTGAATGGGGAAGGGGGTTGGGAGGGCAAATTCCCCCCACTCCTCTGGTCCCCGGACACCAGCCTGAGTCCCACCTGCCGCCATCAGCACCGTCACACAGTAGCCCACACGGATAGACAGTTGTCAGACAAGATCCTTCAGATTCCGAGTTGCCTACCAGTTTGTGTTTTTGGTTTTTGGTTTTTTGGTTTTTTCTTTTAGACAGCAGTAACCACAACACATATTACTGTAGTTCTCAATAGTTTTACATACATACATACATATACATACATCCATACATACATACCATAGCTCTCTTTTCTTCTATTTTTTGTCTTCAACTTTTTTTAAAGAAAACAAATGTTCATAATCTTTACTGGTGAAAAGGATGGATAAACAAACCAACGGACAAAACCAGTTCATGGTGAAAAAAACAAAATGCAGGAAAAATAATTTGCCTGAATGTGGAAGAACTCACCTCCTGTTTAGTATTTTGTACTTAAGGAAATAAAAACGAGAAAAAAAATAAAAAAACACAATAGAGGATCTCACGTTTTCTTAAAAAGGTGAAGATTGCTGTATGCTATTTATTCATCTTAAAACTTATGTTACTCCTGATCTCTGTCGTTTGACGTGACGAAGCACTTATTTAATAAAGTGATGCATTCAGTTAGCCTGCGTCAGCTTCCTCCAGGTCCCAGGACTCTCCTCGGGCCACATCCAGAGGGAAGGACAAACGACCAGGCAGAGGCAGGACCCAAAGAACCTCAGGCCCATCCGGAACTCGTGGGCCCCCTTCTCCATCTCTCCAAATCTGTCTCAATGAGTTCATGCATACCAAATATCAACGCATGTTCAGCTACTGTTATTACTATGGTATTCTTATCATTTAATCTCAGCCCCTGCTATTAAATAAAGTGGCCTTAGTCTATCCATAAGCAAATGATGAATCTCTTCTCTTTGGAGAGGATTTTAAGGAAGGCATTTCTAGAATGTTCCTCAGTCACTTACTCCTGAGAACTTCTGTCCAAGGCAAATCCCACCTCCCGCTCCTCCCCAGCCCATTGTTGTTTTTGCCCAGTGGAGAGGGAAGCTATGAAATGGCTGGTGACTGATTTTAGTCTCTCAGGGGCTTAACGAGCATCGTTTCCACCTGTCCTGCTACCACAGGCACCCTGCTGCGGTTCCCCCTAGACCCCTCTCCTCCCAGCTCTTCTCCCAGCCCCGGTCCCCTCTTCCTTTGTGGAGCCCATAGCAGCACACTTCTGTGGGTGTCTCTGACCACCCTCTACAGGACCTCTATCCTATCTAATCAAAGAGTAATATGCAGATTGACCATCACTCCAACACACAAGATGGCTACCCCCATGTGGACACAAGATGGCTACCACAAGATGGCCAGCAGGGGAAGGCAGTTGTGGGGAGGGACCAAGCCTTCAGGGAAGGGAAGTTAGGGGTGACTTTGTGGAGCCCAAAGCAGCACACATCTATGGGTGTCCCTGACCACCTTCTACAGGAGTCTCCCCGTCCTTGGTATCTCCACTCTGCCCCACCCGAACCCTGTGCCTTGCCCCTTGCGAATCACATGTCAAGTGAACTAACAGGGAGCGCCCCTGCCTGACCAGGGTGTTACTGGTCATTGGGCCCACTCCTTCCCAAGGGTTGATGTGTTCCTGAGGCCTCTCCACCCCCACACAGCTTTGCAAGCGTGCAGGCTTCAGCCAAGGCCCAGCAGGGAAGGCAAAGCTGAGAGTGTGAAAGCTGGGTGGGAGGCAGAGAGGGGTGGGTGCCTGGCCCACTTTCCTTTACATGGGTGCTGACCCATGGTGGGGACAGGAAGAAAAGGTACAGGAAGGCCATGCTGGACTGGGTCACCCCACAGGACCTGCCCTGGGACTGTCTCCTGGCCTCTCCACCAGGAGCTGCTCACCCTGCTGTCACCCACATTCTGCCTGAAGGGGGTGTGGGCAGGCTCTTCTTTAATTGCTGTTTCTGTGCCCTCCCCCCACCCCCACTCCACCTCAACCCGCCACTTCCCTCCCCTTACACTCTCATCTAGGAATTCCTAGAGTTCTGGCTTCCAGCTGCCACCTCTTCTCCCACCCCAACCCTGGACAACCCACACAGCACATTGGTGATCACACATCCACCCGGGTCCTATGATCCAGTAGGACTGGGCTGGAGTCTCGTGTCTACAATAGAACATTTCTAGAAACATGGTTCTATTTCACTCCTCAACTCTACCAGGTCTCCCCTCCATCCACTGAAAGCACACTCTGAGCCTCGACACCTAAAGTGTTCCACATGGAAAATCTGAAAAAGCCCACCCTTCCGTTCCAATCATACCCTACTATTGCGGTGAGAGGAACGGGTGGTGGGGGGCAAGGCGGCAGTGTTAGCATTTTACTTAAAAGACAATGGAAACTCTGGTCTGTGTGTGTGTGTTTGTTTGTTTGTTTGTTTGATCCACTGACCATCTGGCTCTGCTTCCTTCTCTGAGGACCCTGGAGTCTGTGGTTCCACTGACAGCTCCGACTTGGGGGGTGGGGGGGAAGGGCCTCGCCTGCCCTGAGAAAGCTCACCAGCCAATCTCGTCACTCCTGCACAGCCTCGCTGAGCCCTGAGGGAGAAAGTCTCACCATCCTGTGAGCTCCCAATCCTGCCGGGGAACCCATTAGGGACTCCTCCCTGGGTTATCTCCCTCCCATGTTCCATTCCCCGCAGGTCTAAGCACACTGGCTCGCTTCTCCCCATACTGCCTTCTCCCTGTCCGAGAAAACCAACACCGCTTACGAGACCGTCCTCAGCTTCCCATCTCAAATGCTACAGAGTGATCCACAAGAGCGCCATGATGTTCTTCTTCCCTCCCCAATCAGTCCCCCTGTTTCCAAAGACAGCCCCCTTCCTTTGCTCCCCCAACCTGCTGCTTCTCCATCTCCTCCATCAACCATTCCCTCTCTCTCCCTACAGGTGATGGAGGAAGGGGCGAGATGAGGGTGGATATGAAAATGTCTTGGAGCTAGAACCAATGGGACTTGTTCGTGAATTGGATGTTGAGATGGAGATGAGGGAAAGTCTTGGGTGTCTGTCTTCTCCACTCAAAACCCCCCAGGCAACTTGAATTCACCATGCCCAAATTGAACACATCCTGTAAGCGTACTTAAAGATGAACTAAATGAGGTCCAGAGGTCAGAAAGGTGTCCACAGTCACATAAGCCATAAAGTAGAAGAGTTCAAATTCGGCTCAATGGCTGCCTTCCCTCCAAGCCCATGCTCTCAACTACCACATCATGTGTAGCTAGTATTCAAGACATACCTGGCAGACGTGGTCACGGCAGGGTAATTCTCCAATTCAGAGGCACAAGCTTGGGGCCTGCTCTGTGGGCGTGTAACCTATATCATCACGCAGGGCCCAGTGCTTGGCTTAGTGCTCTGCTGCTGCTGCCTTGACATTCTTAACAATTCCTGAAGCAGGTGCTCTGTATTTTCATTTTACCCTGAATCCTACTAATCAGGTCACCCAGAAATCAGGTGGTTCTACAAATGAGAATGGCCCAGGAGGCATGTCTTAATGCGTATTGTCGGGCCCCTTCCTAAGGTTCTAGCTCTGGAATAAGTTCTTTGATCCTCCAAGTGTCACAAGCATTCCCAGTGAACTCCTGGGATGCCGCCCTCTTAAGCAAAACACACTTGGAGGCCCTGTAAAGTCAACTGCAGCTTCCTGTTCTTCCACACGGTGGCAGTATAACCCCAGTCCCTCTCCACTGCCAGGTTTTTAAACTTCAACAGGGAGGCTGGATCTGGAAAGTGAGCAATCCCTGCCCAGCCCACCACCTTCATCCATGTGCCTTCCCTCTGCAAAGGTTTCTGGGTCATTTACACATCAGTGTGGTTCTGGTAGCTACCGCCACAGTGGTGCTGCTCACCCCCCACCCTGGCCCCCCAGCTCCAAGTCCACCTCTGCAGAGGTTTTAGAGCACAAATAAGGAGACTGTGGCAAGTGACTTGGAACTTGGCAGAAGACGGTGGCATCCTCAGGAGCATGTCACAAAAATGTTCCAGAAATGACCCAAGCAAGCCGGCTACCATGGGGCATGAGGGCTGACACGAGGGCTGACCCCAGCAATAATCCCATAATATCCCTCCCAGTTCATACAGTTCTATCGTTCTCAAAGCACGATCGCATCCGCCATCTCACCTTGACTCCAGCCTGTTACTCGAGGTGGAAACCGTCCCCATGAGAGAGATGAAGGAGACAGGCTCAGAGAAGGCAAGTGACGTAGCTCCAGAGCAGTGGCATGGGAAGCAATGTGACTGGATTCCAACCCAGGCCTCCTGACGCCAGCATTTTTCTTGCCTCACCCCCAGCTATGCATTAGAATCACCCAGGAAACCTTTAAAAAAAAAAAAAACACCTGCTGCCTGGGCTTCACTTCAGACCAATCAGATCGGAATCTTTGAGGTGAGGCACCCTCAGTCATCCAAATGTTAGCCCAGGTTACACGCCGCACTTCTCCAGAGAGCCAACAGGGGGTGCCCAACCCCAAGACAGCAGCTAGGAGCTGCTGGCTGTAACTGAGGGGACAGCGGATGGGTGGCCAGCACCCAGCTTTGAATAAAAGAAAACCAGACCCCAAAATCCAGCCAGGGGCCCAAAGCACTGCAGGGCCCCCAATTATCCCACAGGGGGCGGTATAACTCCAGGCTGAGCAGCTTGCACACTCGAGTCAGAGACTTCCGAGTCTGGGACTGGAGTTTGGGCACCTCTAGGGACCTTTTTCTCACCCATAAAGCGGAGCTAGTGATAGCACCTCATTTGTGGATTCATGAAGATTAACTGAATGGATGTACTTCCGGGATGGCCAGCCACTGGCTAAGAGCCCAGAGGTAGGCGGGGATGTGTCACTCTGGGGGACCTGGCTTCCTTCTCATCTCCCCCAGGTGAGGCCCCGGTGTCCTCTGCTGCAGGAAGGACTCAGACCCTGACCCAGAAGAGAGGGTCACAGGGAAGTGGGGCTCTGCAGTCTGTGCTGGGGAAGGGGGAAGCTTGGGCAGTGTCTGCCTTCCCCCATGGCCCGGTGCCATCAGCAGCCCCCCGCAATTCACCAGGGGCTGAGCCCCACAGAACGGAGTGTGTAGGGCGCCTGCAGGGGATTCTGCTTCATAAAGGGGGCGCACATCTATGCCTCGGTCTTCTTTAATATTTGCTGTTCTGGGTCCAGTGACTGGGTCCTCAGAGAGCTGCCCCGGGTTCGGAGGCTGTGCGTCCGTGAATGCACTGGCCCACAGCAGCCCGCTCCCTGTCCCTGGGGCTGGATGGACATCTCCCCGCGCAAAACGGAGCTCTCATTGGAGGGGCCAGAGGCCCCAGTTCCAGTGTTTCTCCCTTTGGAGTATCATCTGAATGTGCGAGAGGGAAGACAGGCCTGCTCTGCCTCCCCTCACCCTGTGCCCACAGGGTGGTGGGGGCAGAGGGGGCGGGGGGGACGGCGGGATGGGGGTGAGGGCCAGGGACTCAGCTGGGGGTCCAGGCAGAGACACTGGGTCCTGGGGTCACAAGTGAGGGCTCCACACCTTGGTTCCCACAGGCTGAGACCATGGGAGGGAGATCTGCCTTCCTCATGCCCCATCCTCCTCCTTCCGGTTTCATATGGGAAGCGCAGGCTGGGCCTTTCCCACTTCCCTAGAAGTTGGGGGCCCCAAAGACTCAGGAGAAAGACACGCAATTTATTTTTCTTTTCTTTATTCTTAAGCAAGAGACTCGGGGGTTCAAAAATAAAGATTTCTTCTTCCCCCTCCCAAACCTGGACCCCAGCTCTGCCTTGGCAGGCACCCCTCCCAGCGGGGGTCTGAGAAGTGGGTGCAGCCTCTCCCGCCGGGAGGGGCAGGCAGCGGCGTGCCAGGCTCGGTGCGGGTCTCTTTCCCGGTATAAATACATGTGTCACACTCCCGGGAAGCCCTCCCCTCCCACCACCCAGGCACCCTCCTCTCCGCCCGTGTCCGGAGAGGGCCGTGGGTGCCAGGCGCCGCTGGCTGCGGTTTACTGCATCCGCTCGGTGTAGTAGCGCTGACACTCCGGGTCCCCGCGGACTGTGGGGGATCCCTGCAGCGGCTTCCCGGTGCTGGGGTCCACGCACCAGCACTCCCCACGCTGCCCGTTCACGGCCATCTTGCACTGGAGAGAGAGGAAAGGAAACCGTGAAGGACAGCCTGCGGCTGCAGCTGCCATGGGGTCACTCCGGCCTGCGCCGAAGCCGGGCTGCAGGGTGGTGTGTCTCTGCTTCACTGCACCAGGGGGTGCTAAAATGCAGCTGCCTGTTCAGGGGGCCAGGGGTGAGCCTCCCCTTGGGCAGAGTTAACACTAGAGCTGCTGGCCCTGTGGCTGCACTGGACATGCAAGGCTGCTGGGGGCACCCAGCGGTGGAAGGACTCTGCCCCAGGGCCAGGGAGGTCCCGCCTGGGTGGCCAGGATGGAGCTGAATCAGAGTGTGCGGTGACGATGCTCGTACACGGTCAGGCACCACGTCAGCATCTATAGGCTGCTCGTTACAGTTTACATCTAACACGTATGATCCTGGAATCCTCACAGCCCCCGTGGGAGGAAGCCTGGCTCTCAGGCGCTCAGCTCTCAGACCTCAGCGGGTTTCGGGTGTGGAGGGCAGGGCTGAGGCTCCCCAGCGGCCCCGGGCGGTCCTCTCACCTGTTTGAGGTTGTACAGGCCGTCCTTGTCGCAGTTGGGGATGTGCAGGGAGTAGAGGTGCTCCAGGGGGCCCCGCTCATCCGGGAGGCGCATGGTGGAGATCCGCTCCAGCACCTGGTCCAGTTCCTGCTGGCACGGCGTCTGTGGGGGCGGGCGGGCGGCACAGAGGGGGCTTAGAGACGGCCCTGGGAGCGGCCCCAGAGAGAAGCTCACGCCTGGGAAGGGACTTCCCGGAGGCCACGTGGGTAGTTGGTGAAACAAGGGGATTCTGACACCCGGCCCAGGGAGCTTACTACCATGTGTGCCCATCCGCCCCTGGAAGAAAGCCGCAAGGCTGTGAGCCTTCACGCCTCTCCTCCTCCTGCACCAATGGCTCTCAGGGGTCAGGATGGAATCTACTTGCAAACACTGCCTTCAGATGGTTGCCTCTGGATCTCCCTACCCCGGCCCAGTAGAAATGGCCCAAGCTCCATTCCTTTCCATAAACCATCAGGGGCCAAGATCCAAGACGGCAGAGCTGGGCTGGAGAGAGGAGGGGAAGCTGAGGGAGGGGAGCACATATCGCAACACGAGCGAGCGAGCAAACGAGCTCAGGTGCTCCATCGCCACCTCTGGCACCCCTGCTCCTGCCTGTGTTCCACAGCCACCCAGAGAGGTGGCGGTTCCAGCAGGAAGGGGTTTCGAGAAACCACAGGCCCTGTCCATGTCACAGCCACAGACACCGAGGCCCCTCCCAGGAGATGCTGATCTGCTGTTGGCCCTCAAGGTTACCGAGGGTAGAAAAGGAAAGTCCTATTTGCCTGCTGGCAACACAGAACGTTAAGATCTTATCGGGCTGCCCTCCCCACCGTGAGATTCCCTCTCCATGTCCCCCACCCCTCCAACGAGACCCGACCCCTCTGACCCTGGGAGACGAAGGCCAGAGCTTCTTGGGGTCCTCCGGGCCGGGGGGGTGCTTGCCACCCTTGCCCATCTGGCGATGCTGGTCGTTGACCTTCTCCCGCAGCACAGCCATCTCCTTCATGCCCGGGGTGAAGGCCTTCCGGCCGGCGCTGCCTCCACCTCCCAAGATGGTCGCTTCCCTAAACGCAGGGTAGTTATAGTCTGCGGAGAAGCAGAGAAGTTCCAGAGAGATGGGCCCTCCAGGGACTGTCTGGAGCCCTGACAATAAGGAGGACGCAGAGAACTAACAGCTAAGCAATGAACTGAGTGATTCCATGGATGACCCATTTCCGCGGCACAGCGACTCCTCGGTGGGCCCTATGCCTCCCTCAGCGTCTGCTCTGCTCTGCCTCCATCCGGGAAGTAGAGCCCAGAAGGATCGCTAGGTCTGTCAGGCCCTCCCTGTGGAAGGGTGTGAGTCCCTCCCGGGTCCATCATTCTCTAGGAGAAAGACCTCCCAGAGTCACCGGTCACTAACCCCCCATTTAAGGGACTCATCATTTATGGTCTGAAAGGGCATGGATTGGGTGAGATTTTAAAACATGGAGGTGGAACCATCACTGTCAAAACCTAGTTTCCAACACCTTCATTGTCGTGTTGGCTCTTCATTTGCTTGCTTGCCCCTCCTGTGGGTCCCCTGAGGCTGCTACAGTCATACCCCTGTACCCCGATTTGTTCCCCGTGACACCACGAGCACCAAGAACAGGAACGACAACCTGCTCAACGTTGAAGTTTCATCGTATCACATCCTGACATGTGTCCGAGGAACATCGATTAAGTCTCTTTGGACTTTCTCGAAGCGCCAATCCATCACCAACAGAGAAAAGCTCCTATTGTGTGCCCAGCTCTGGTGCTCGAACCACCGACGGGACCAAAGACGCACCCTTCGAACAAGCCCTAGAAGCCAGCGCTCAGGACAAGGCCAGGCCCTGTGTGAGCCTGGACACAAGCTGGATGAAGAGAGGCACCTCTGGACAGGGCCGGCTCACTCACAGGGCGTAGCAGGCACGGTGCCCTGGGGTCTAGCGAGGGTTTCGATGTCTTTTAAAATCAGAAAGAAAAATAAGCATTTAGTTCCAAGAAAATGTTCTCATATACAACATGGACACGTTCGCAGTCACAAGACACTGTTATAAAATATGATTTCAGAGTATTTCTTATGAAGGAAGGGTAAGGTGACCAGACGTCCAGCTTTTGGCGGGACAGTCCTGATTTTTAACAATTTGTCCCACGTCCCTTGGAGTTTAAAAAAAATAAAAAATAAAAAAATAAAAAGGTCCCAATTTTTGGAAAGAATTCTAAAACTTGGGCTTTTTTAAAACGCAGCAAATGGTTAAAAATCAGGACTGTCCCACCAAAAGTGAAACGTCTGGTCACCTTAAGGAAGGGGCCCCCAAAGGCAAAAGTGTGTCCGGCCCACCGGAGTCAGTAAGGAAGCTCTGGTCCAGGGTCAGAACACGGGGTCTCTGGAACACGCTTCTCCCCGGAGCTGTCCCGAGATGCCACACTTCTCTGCAGTGAGGACCAGCTTGTCCGCCCGCGCAAAGGTCACCGGAGTCAGAGGCGTGCTTCCTTCCATCCCTGTACCGCTCTCACCCCTGCCAACGAACACGCCCATCGGACAAGGACATCCACGGGCCTGGTTTGCTGTCGCACGTGCTGACACTTCACATCTGAAATAAACCCCTGGGAAGGGGAACGAACGGACTGACTGGGTGGAGACCAGAAAGGACTGTGGCTGGGAGAGCCTCCTTCCTTGACTGTTACTATCTCCAGCCAAAGAGTTCAAGAATTCAGACTTCCAAGTCTCATTGCCCAAGTCCCTGTCTCACCACTTGGCCGTGAAGCTTACGCGCTCTGTGCCCCATCAGTAAAATGCAGACACAACAGCAGCCACCTCCAGTGCGTGGCCAAGAGGCATCCAAGAGATTCTGCACACATTTACAGCGCGCTGGAGGCTAGCTCTGAGCTGCTTCCACCACTACCACCACACACACACACACACACACACACACACACACACCGCCCCTGCCACCCTGAGGGAGGGAGGCCCACACCGCCTCCCACACACAGACAAGGCCATTGCCGCCCATCACCGAGCGTTTCCCATGCACGCACACAGGTGACAGAGCCGTCCTCAGAAAACATTCCAGACGCAGGACTCCAGCTAGAGATGGAATGTGCTTTCAACACAAAAATACCAAGTTGCATTTTTTTTCTGCCTAAGAGAGTTAGGTTCAGAATAATATTTATTAAGTAACCACTTATGTATGCAGCTCTGCGGGCTACAGTGCAAAGGTCACTCCAAGAAAAAGTTCTTAGTGAGCTGAATCCTACGACTGGAAAAGGATTCGGGCTTGGAGACGACAGAGAGGGACCCCCCCACAGCCAGTGCAGAGGTTGTCCCCTGAGGATTGGTAAGCATTGGCTGTTCTCTACACAGACTCCCAAGAAAATGGGATTAGAGGCAGAAGGTCAAGCTTTTCCAGAGAGAAGTGGGGGAGACAGAGAGGCAGAGCAGAGAGCCCAGTTGCATTCGGGGAGGGCTGTCAGAGCCTGAGAGGTCCTGTCCTGCTTCAGGTGTGTGGCCACGCCTTTTTCCCTGAGGTGCTGAGACAACAGCTGGAGATGAGAAAGGCTGGCGGAATGGGAAGAGATGGACGAGTTGTCCCATCTTACAGACAGCACACCTGGGACTGCCATCTGGGTCTATAGGAGCATGCTCATCCTCTCTGCTGTCATCAGAGGGGCTCCACAATCGGCAGGGGTCCGCACACCATCCCCTGACCCAGCCTCACTAAGCCAGCCAGACACGGTGCTGGGAGCTGACGCTCCAGGAGAAAGAGCTTTGAGGACTTCACACCCTGGTTTCACAGTGCTGGTGGCCTTCCTCAATGAATGGGCAGCTGTGTCCAGCAGGTCCTTGAACCCGGAAACCTCATTTTCCCCTAGGGTAACACTCTGACCTCAGCGCTCCACTGGACAGTCGGCAACTCCAGATCTGTGGGAGACCTTAGGAGCTACAAGCAACCCTAGTCCTTCCTAGGGTTGGAAGTACTAGTGTTGCTTGTAGTGAGGTGTGGGGAGAAAAGGAGAACCGTCACACATCTTCACACAGGTGTCTCCTTTCTTGTCTTTTTTCTGAAAAAACCTAGTGATCTTCCAACTGTCTCCTTTGTCTCATGGTTACGTGAACATCTGAGAGCAGGTGGTACCATAGAGATGATCTAACGCTGCCAGGAATCTGCTGTTCCCCCCAATGGGTTTACCTCCTTCGACAGGTCATAGCCCTGCACCGGTGGATTCCGGCTCACAGGCCAAGAGGATGCTGGCTGCCTTCCCACTTCCATTCTTCTTTGATGATTTCTCAAAAAACACAAACACTTAACCTTAACATATGTTGGGCAAATGAATAAATACTGTCATCTCCCTCCTGAAAAACCTCTCTATTAACATCCATGGAAGTGGATAATTCATTAACAAGCCCAGCTAGGCAAAGAATTCTGGGAGTCAAGAGCCCTGAATTCCAGTCCTGACTTTGCCACTTAGGACCCAACCATCATTTTGGCCAGGCTCTTTAATTTTCCTGAGCTCTTATCACGTCTGAATAATCCTAACTCAAAGCCTTGGCCAACGGGTCTAGAATGGTAGGAAGAACCGCGCTGGCTCTGTTTGTGATGTTACCCAGCCCGGGCTCTGAGTGATGCTAACAAGGAATGTAAGATGTGTGGGCTTCAGTGTGCTCATCTACAAATTCAGGGAGCTCGACGAGCTGACTGGTTCCCAAACATAGCTGTTCACCAGAAATCCACTGAAGAGCTATGTAAAAATGGCATCCTAGACTCCAGCCTCAGCATTTCAGACAGAAGCCTAGACTGAGATCAAACTCTGGCTTTGCAGGGCCCCATTCCTCTATGACTCACTCTCCTGCCTCAGTTTCCTGAAGAACTTCTTGGTGGTGGGAGAAAGATGCCTCTTCTTTTCCAGAGGCATGGCTCCACATACACATTTTACGAAGACACAGTCAAGTAAGCTCGTTCCACCCACCCACGGGTTCATAAACAGGCACACGTGTGTGCTTGGATGCACGCTAAGGAGCCCTTTTTGGCCAGGCATCATGGGGATTCCTGGAGCACGCCCTCCCAGCGCCGTCTCCTGAGTGAGCAGAAATAGCGCAGCCTCTGCAGAGTCTCCCTGCCTACGCACTCCCCCAGGCCTGCTGTATAAACACCAGGGTCGTTCCTGGAATCACAAAGACCCCGGGAGGGTCAGGGCGAAGGCAGACAGTTTGAGAAAACAAAAACAAGCTCACATTCAGCCAAGTTCCTCCAGGACTCTGTGAGCCAGGCTGTCCTTGAGAAGCCAGAGAAATGGATAGCAAGATGGCAAACAGCACTATCGGCTTACTCCTTCCCCTGGTTCCCAAACACTGCTCCTCTGGTTCAAACAAAGCCACCCAAGCACTTGGCAAGGTGACCTGCCTGCTGAAGGCCCAGGTGAGCATAGAGTGTGCTTTGGTGCAAACCTGGACCGGCGGCTATGGGAGCAGGGCCTGGGTCAAAAGGCAAAAAGAATGTCCGTTTACTTGCATTAGCTTTGTGTGCATCTCCACTGACTTGGTTTCTTCTTAGATGGCATTCAACTTTTTCAAATGCTTTTCTTGCTGCCTTCCAGGATCACGAGGCATGTGCAAGGACAGTTGCATTTGTGTGCAGTTGGTCTCAGAATTTGCACTCAGTATGTGCTCAATCAGTGTTTCAACAACAGGAAAGCTGACTGTCCCGAGAGCATTGGAGTATCACTATCCCGCCTAGCGTACCACCGGGGGCCCCCTTCCTAACCATCTGGCCCCAGGGCAGCAGGAGTGACTAGGAGAACAGAAAGGCCAAGAGCAAAGAGAAGCGGGAGATGGGGGAGGAAAGAGACTTCCCTTTCCCAGGACCCAATCAAACAGTCCCTGTGCTCAGTTCCAATGGTGTAACCCGGCAGGACTGCTCTCCTAGAGGAATAAAAACTGGCTCCTACTCACCTCTCTACTCCCACTCTCCCCCTTCCGACTGCCTCTTCTCCATCCCAATAAGGCTGTTGTCAGACACTCCAGGCCTGACAAATGGAAGCCGGACGGAGGATGCAGAAAGGAACTAAAAACCTGCAGAGATGTC